TGGCTACACCTGCCTTTGCCAAAAGCTAATCAATGTTTAGAATAATTCAAATCGGTTGAAAAGTCAACAAAAATTGTATCCGTACATTCATATATACATACATACATACTACATACACTCACACACACACATACAATTTTTTTTGAAGTATGCCAAAATGTTCAGAAACCTCTAAAACGTGAAGATATGCAAAAATGATCATTTTTAACTTTTACTTTATAAAAGTAAAATTATCTATATAAACTTATAGACTTATATATTTCTTTAAACGATTCAATAGAATTATTTTTGATAATCACATCTTTTAAAAATTATGGATGGTGCGAAAGAAAGGTAATTCCATTTTTATACAATTTTAAACAATTGGTGATAGGTTATAAAAACCAACTACAAACAGGTATTGACAGAGACTTAAATTTTAAGGTCAGAATTAGGTAAAATTCATCAAATCTCAACAATCACGTGGTAGTGCATCAATATTATAAAATAAAAATTTTACAAACAAATTTCAGTTCTGACATTTTGATAAGCACAAATTTTACAACTACTGATTCGTTATTATCTAATTTTGAAAGCATTTTCATTCAAATTCAAAAATATTTCAATACCTAAAAGACAAATAAAATGTATATATAAAAAATGAAGTTTTTTTTATAATCTCTTATACCAGAAGAAATGAAAATAATGTCAATAAAAAAAAAAAAAATAAATAAATAAAAACTGCTTCTTACTTTCTGTATTTAAAAGAATTGCAAATACAATAACATATTTCATATTCATTTAGAATTATAATTAGGGAAAACGATAAAGTTTATGAAAAACAAAAGGCGTCACGTTCGCGTATTAAATTTTGAGATAAAAATTTCTTTTATACCACTAACAAATGAAAGTTTTAATGGGGAATGCTTTTACTTTGATTTCATTAAGGGACGTCGTTATGAAGGCATTCAGTTTATGCACAAAATTTAATATGTGTAGTTAACCGCATTCTCTTTGAAAGAAGGTCTTTTCGTATTACGCGGTCATTTCGGCATTAAATCTTTTTAACGACTTTGGTGTCGGATTTTTGCAGTTACAAGAATTTCATTTCGCATCAATGACTTTACCACACGAATACGTGGAATTATTTTATAATTGTGGATGGGCATAAAATATAATTAATTATGAAATAATAAATTGAACGTTTTTTAACGTCTACATTCCAGAAATTGTCGAGATTGTTTGATTAATTTTCATTCCCTGTTGCGAGATTACTGAATTGTTGTACAATTTTATGATGTCAAAAAATAATCATCTGTATTATAAATTATAACAGTAATTATACTGATGCAATAAAGTTAAACTAAGTTAAACAGTTAAGGCAAATATAGGATTTTAGAAATAACGCAACGAGTTATATAGGATTAAATTATAAAGTTCAGAACCAATTTACGAGACTGCTCTAAAGTTTTAATAATTAGTGAAAATTGTAGATTTAAAAAATATCTGAAAAGCTTTATTATCAAGTTTCATAAACTTCCCGACATGTGTATATAATTGGGGTAATGAACTAGTGGTAATCGTGCTTAAGGCAAATTGCTGGAACTTCCCGTATTAAAAATTGAAATTTTGAACATTTTGAAAGCTTTGAAAAAAATAGATTTCTGAAAATTTGGAAATTTTTGAAAAAAATTGATATTTTCGAAAAATTTGAATTTGTTTTTTTTAATTTTGAAACCGTTTGAAAATTTTGAACTTTTTGCAAAGCAGTCGTGCTGTTTTAACTGCGTAGATACAAAATACCAAGAGCGCAAAAAATCTAATTTTTCCAAAATTTTCAAAGTTGTTTAAACTTTTAAAAATTTTAAATTACGGTACGGAAAATTCCTGAAATTGGCCTTAGGGGGCGTACTTTATAATCACATGAGGCTTTTAGGGCGAGGGGGATTTGACAAAAAATCACAAAATGTCACGTGGGGCAGGAAGGTGTTTAGTCTAGTTAGATTTCACGTGTACTTATTTTTTGCCTGTAATTAAAGAAAATCTGAACATTTTCAAAAAAAAAAAATCAATTTGAATTTTGAAAAATTCTTTCGAAAAATTTTACGCATTTAAAAACACACGTAATTTTTGTTGAGGCAGGAGGGGGGGTTGATTTTAAAAATCACGACGTCTCAGCAGGGGAAAGGAGAGCGTCCAAAAATATAAAAAATCAATCACGTGATTAATGGTCGCCCTCATAAGGCAACAGTAGCTGATTTTCAAATGCTGTAGCATACAAATCTGCGGCCTCAAAAATTTTTGACAATTTCTGATATATGCATAAATTTATATATGAAATATATATATATATATATATATATATATATATATATAAATATATATATATATATTTCCGCCTCGGTTCTGAAGAGATGTAAGCTGTGCGATATAACAAAGCAATTTGCATCCAGCGCAAACGTGCAATATGTGCAAATCATTGCAGTAATTATTCACGTATCATTGGAGCAATCAAACGCAGCAATATACATCGATATTGCGTCAAAATCATACCTACATTCGGCTATATACGGTTTTTCTGACGTATGTTACTTGAAACAATTAAATTTCTATAATTGTCATTAATAAATCATGAGTTAATAGGATTTCCTACATTTTATAATAATAAGCATTTATTATGATTTTTTATGTTTTTAACTCCCCGTGGGCAATTAATCGCAAAAAAAATCTAAAATGAAGATTTTTGTATATGTTCACGTTTAAAAGACTTCTGAACATTTTGGCATACCTTTAAAAAAATGAATATGTTTGCGTGTGTGTAGTATGTATGTATGTATGTATGTATGTATGCATGTATGTGCGGATAAACATTTTCATCTACAATTTCGAGATTCAAGATTTAAATCTTATTGCTCAGGAGACGTGCTAATTAGTTTTTGGCAAAGGCAGGTCAAGCCGTTTCGAAGACGGGACAAAAATTGCATGAAGTGGCAAATCAGTTTTTGTGAGAACGGAATATCAGGATTAGATGATTCATAAAACATTTTACTTGTATTGACGGAGTGAAAAAGCTAAATTTTTGGAAAAGCAAGTCCAGAAGTTTCAGAAATTCAGAAAAGAAGTTAAAAAATTACAATTTGGCGGTCAAAAATGATTATTTGATATGCATATCAAATTGTCAAATTAAAAAAAATTAAATTATGGTGCAGGAAGTTCCAGCAATTTGTTTTAAGGCATGATGCCATGCAACACTACTTAAATTTAAACGGAGTTTAAAAAACTTGATAGAAATAATTTTTATTATTTATAAAATATATAAATGTAAAGCCGCTTAAGAAACCGTACATTTATAAAAAAAAATTTGAAACATTAAATGTAATATGTGTGTAATTCAGAATAAAAAATATTCTGGAAAAAATTTAATTTTTATTTATAAATCTAACAAAAATTAATGTAATTTCTACTTTTAAAAAAATATAATATATCATTAAATATACCGAGTTTATATTTACTTACATCCGAGAAAAAAATATTATTTAATATTGCATAATTTCTAAGATGCGCAAATCTTCAGCTAATTAATGTCGCATTAAAACCCATTTAGCATCATTTATTAATGCATTTACAAGACGATTACATCACTTGTTTTTCTATACTAAGAACGTGATGCATTTGTTGCATTTCTATAAATATTTTACAATTATGTTTATACAAGTTAACCAGCTTGAGTCATATATTTATTTCGAAAAGTCGGTTGTTTTATAACTTGATTTCCAACAACGCAATTCGACAGATGGGAATATATTTTCTCTATAAGGTTTATGAGTTGACGGAAGTGTGGTATTTGCTTAAAACATTAAACAGTCAACGTTTGCTTTTCGCTTCCTGTAAAATCGAATCTCAATTTGATAACTTTGATCTAATTAGGCAAAGATTGATCAATATCGCTTAGTAATTAGATTTAAATCATCAAATTAATCACTTTGTTGGTTTAGAGATCATATTGAGAAAAATCAAATTTAATTTATAAAAAAAAACTCGTGGCTATAAATAATTTGTACAAATTTTGTAAAATGAGATAAAATTTTCAGATTTTGAGAGAAATACATTTTTTACAATTAGTATTCTTGGATTAATATGACCCAAGGATAGGGAAAACCAAAAACAGCGTATTATTATATTTTGGAAAACCTCTTTGTCCATTGTCGCCTGAAATACAATCAATTCTAGGGTACACCACCTCTACCTTTGATCTACGTAATAATTTTTGGGGTCCAAGAAGAACAGATTTTTGAGTAAGAGTACCCACAATAGTAAAAAATTAGTAATATTAGTTAGGGAACAAGGCTTGGTTTAGTTATTAATAGCATTTATTTGTTTGATGTTCACGGTTTAGTACCTACAGTTGGGTAGGAAATTATTTTATTATGTCAGGTAGAGAGAGATGGATTCATAAAATTTGTGAGGCTCGAACATGCCGCAACGTTTGAAAAAACAATGGGAAATTAATTTACATGATTTTTCAATATTGCTTTATATAGTTATGGTGTAATGATAAAATTACAATATAAATGTATGAAGATTAATTAGTTACACTATTTATGTAGTATGAGAATCATTGTCAAAACTGACAACTGACAACATTTTTATAAAAAACTCATACTCGCTCAAAGCTTGTATCTCAAATTCTGCTCGTATGTCAAGGCAACAAAATGTTTTTGGCGGCTCGTATCTCAAAACACTCCTATATCGAGTCACTCACAAGTCGAGGTACCACTGTAGGTTCAAATCTTGGTTTCATTCACATGGTTTACTATTTACCCCTTACAGGTAATTACTAATGTATTTAAAGATCGAGTTAGGGTCCTAAAGTAATTTCTTCGTTTTGGGGAAGTAAAGCTAAAATATACTACATAGTATCATCGCCCCCAAAGAAGGTGACCATGAAACCCCTTTTCGTCACAATATCCAATCTATTATTTATATATAAAAATATTTCTTATAGTTCTTTTACAACTTACTTGCAATAATACAGACGTCCCTCGATGGTCGCATGTACCGTCCAGCCCGGCTTGAGAGCCTCCTGCAGGGCAGGAAGATCAGCCGGAACATCCTCCGACTTGCTGGACGTAGGCGTCGCGCTGCTGGCCTGAGCCGCCGAGTTTTGCCTCAGCAGCATACCCGTCGGCTACTTCCTAAAAAAATACAAAATTATAATAAAATCGAGTTAGTAGTACTAAACGACTCTATAGTAACTAAATAACAATAAATGGCAGATGATGCACTTGAAAATCATAATTAATAATTAGCTGATAACGAGGACTACTGACAAGTTAGAGAAATTGACCTAAGGTAATTTTGTGGAATATCAAGTATCATAAGCAAATAATTAATAAAAAAATAACTAAACAAATACACGTTTATTCCAACCACCATCTACGAATCTAAATCGTAGGTTAAGGTATTAATGTTGAATTCAAAAATTTCTTCATCAAGGCTTAGTCAATAACTTTTGGCTCAGTCAATAAGTCACCTTCTCTTTTCAATAATTTTTGGCTGAAGGTAAATTTGAGTTGATTTGGTAATATTTTCATGGACTTTTTTTTTACTTTATATATAATACATAACAAAGAATTATATAAAAACACTAGATGACCCGACAGACCTTGTCCTGTACCCATGTCCACAATTCGAAAGTTCCAATTTTTTTTATTATCCTATCCTATACTTTTCAATATCCTATTTGATGTTCTTTAAAAGATACTGTACATGCAGTTTTGGACTTACTAAATTTATTTTCTAAACTAAATTATTTAATTCAATCTGCCAGACATATACTGTTAACTGTATCTTATATTATTTTAATTTCTGGCACATCTCAGCAGCTTTTCGGCAATAATAATGTAGGCATTACATTTTTCTTGTATATTATATTCTAATATTATCTAGACTCATAATTTCAGCTAAATTTAATTTTCAAATGAATTGAAATTTCTAGCAGATGACAGTTCAAATGTTTTCAATGTCAAACAATGATAAATGTTTTTTTTGTAATTTTTACCATTTATTTTTAGAATATTACTATAGTTTTATCGTTTATCAAATTTCAAAAATTTCCTTTAATAAACTCTGAAAAGAATTATCAGAATCCAAAACCAGTACAGAAGAATTTTATATATAGGATTATATTAATTTATAATCTGTGCAAAAATATCAGAATCTTGTATAAATTAAGAGTTAATATATTTTACATCAACATCTAAAATTCTAGCAAACTGTAAGTCTAAATAAGCATGAAAAACAAATCTCCACACATACATTTCGAGTAAGTAAACACCTAAAACGCTTTTGGGAAGTTTGTTCTGACACCGCTAGCCAAATATTATGTGGTGTCGACCAGACGGTTGACGAAACGTTATTTTATACAATCCTCAGATATATTAGAATATAAGTGGATTATATTTTTCTTAGGATTATCCAATGTATATAAAGATGCGCCATTTATTTAAAAAAAAAATCTAAATATATAACTTTATAAAAATCGTGAAAACTGGAATAAGACACTAAATTTTAACTTCTCGTAGGGTAAGTTATAGTAATTGCAACAAAATCGAAACTAAAATTTTTTACATATTTTTACGTTTCAAAGGTTTCTGAACATTTTGGCATACCTTATCAAAAATAGATGTATATATATATATATATATATATATATATATATACTAGCAAACCGGGCGAACTCCGTTTCACCACCAGATGGTTTCATTTTATGTAACATTTCGTTTGGTGATTAAAAGATTAAGAGATTAAGATTGCCTGCTGTTGAAATTGAATGAAAATCTACACAATACACGTGATTGATTTGATGGTTTCCAATTGAAATGTTAAGAAACGAATAACTTTTTTTTTTACTTTTTTGCACAAATTCACAGTGAACACAATGCCAGTTTGTCACATGAAATTAACTGAGCAGAAAACAACGAGTAGCTGTCAAACAAATGAGTAACAGTCAAACAAAAAATATTAGTTTGTAGTACAAGCTAAGTATCGGAGATGATGCTATATGTGAAAAAAGAAAAAGGGTTTTCCGCTTTTCTGTTGAAATCTTTCTTCAATTTTCTTTCCTATAAACCTCACGGAGTCCGAAACCCTTCCAAAAAATGCAAAATCGTCGAAATCGGTTCGTGCGTTCTGGACTCATATCGTCAGAAAGGAAACCCCGACTTATTTTTATATAATAGATATGTGTGTGTGTGTGTGTGAGCGTGTGAGTGTATATATGTGCGGATACAATGTTTCGTCGACTATTTCGAGAACATGGATTAACCGATTTCAATGATTCAAAAAATATTCCATTCTTATTGATAAGGAGACGTGCTGATAGGCATGTCTAGCCGTTTCGAAGAAACGGGGCAAAAAAAAAATGCGTAATTCAGTTTAAGAGAACAAAGCGTCCGTTTGCAATAATTCAAATAACATTTTACTTGCATTGACAAAATGAAGAACTGATTAAAAAGAACTGTTAATTCATGTGACTGATTTTAAAAAAAAAAACGTATATTTTTTAATCGATCCATTCACTTATTACCGTTTTCTTTTTCACTTCGCTTGAATATGTTTTTCTAACAATTAAAATTATACAAAGCTTTCACTTTCAAGCAAATGGTTGATAAATGGCGTAAACTGAGCAAGTACATTAAATTCTATTAGAATGCAAATTTGCAAAGTTTTAAAATAAAACCGAACTTATAATTCCGTATTTATAACAGTTTCATTACTTAATTCCCTCCTCTGTTTGAGTCCACTTAAGGGCCTTGTTTCAGCATTTGCTATTATCGCAGATTAGTTATTTCTCTTTCAATTTCACTTCACAAAGCGAAATGCGAGTTTGTTTCTTTTAAATTCGAAAGCATCGTCGCAAACTTCGGGAATATCATTTTGAATGAATTTATAAAAAGAATTAAACGTTATATATATATATATATATATATATATATATATATATATATATCAGGAAGAGACAGATAGGATTGAAAGGGCAGGAAAGAAGAAGAATGCAGATGATTGATTGCATACGCAGGGAAAGAAAATACAGGGAAACTGAAAGCCTAAAGTGTTAGAAAAAACGTGGTAATAAAATTGTTATTGAAATAATAAACAAGGGACAGAAAGGGAATCATTGATTCTGCGGTGCTCCAAACCATGGACTTGCCCTCGGGCAGACAAACATTTATTACTATATCAAGAAAAGATTTTTTGTATTTTTTTTTATTTGTTTAATAATGGGTTTTTATTGATCATTAATTTTAGTCTGAAGAATAGTTCAAAAAGAAAATACATAAATAAACCAATTTTTTTTATTAATTAATAAAAACCAATCAAAATTACATAAAAAACTAAAATTAAAAAAAAAAACATTTGTATTTGAATTACTGTATTTATATACTTTAACGTAAGTGTTGAAATTGATTAAGATCAATTAAGAGCACAGTTGATGATTAAAAATCATTTAACCTTTTCTTACCCGAAAGAAAAAAACTAAAATGAATGACATATAATAAATTTTTTACATGATTAAAATCAATTAGTGGTTAACATCAATTAGTGCTCCTCAATTGGTAAATTTTCAATTCTCTGTTACTACATAATTAGAGTCAAATTAACTAAAAACATACAAAATATGTATGTTTGTATGTTTGGATAAGATTTTTCGCCCACGATTTCAAAAGCACGAATCAACCGATTTGAATGATTCAAAAAGCATTTGATTCCTATTGATGGGAAGACAGTACGAAAAATCCTATCCAAATATACCAAAACTTATGCCAAAATCGTGCTATATTTGGATAGGATTTTTGGTCCACAATTTCAAGAGTACGAGTCAACCACACATGGACCAAAATTTAAAAAAAAAATCTATTTTTTTATCCACCACTATATTTACAAGTGTCCAGTTAAGGAAATTTGATGATTTACAATTGTCCGTTATAGGGATATTGTATATCATAATGACAAGTTGGAAAAACAACTCAATGGTTGTAATAAATAACATTAACAATATTTTAATAATAATAATATGAACTTAAATATTTTTTTTATAAATAATAACTAATAAATATATCCTTATAAATAATAACTAAGTTACTTCAATCTTCATCAGGAAATCTAAATGGATTTTGTTTCCAAATTTCCAAAATTCTTACAAAAATCTAATTTTATCCATTAGAAATTTTTACAGCTTTTAATAAAAATTGTGAATTACAATGCAGAAATTTCCAGTAATTTGCCTTTACGTTGATTTTTTAAAATGTCAATATGAACTAGGAAATAACATTTTGTTCTTCTCAGAAAGCCTAATGATGGAACGTAACTAGTTCCAAAACGTTGTACATAAATAACACATTCAAATATATAATACACCTCGCATATACGGCTTTATACGAGAAAAGAAGATGAAAAGCGAATAAGTGAAATGGACAAAGATATAGCGTTCCATGTAATATACCAGTCAATTCCTCCTTGTTGAAGAATGACTCGGTTTTACATTCCTGATACCACGCCATCGCTCGCTCCTCTGTTTTTATCACATCCACTCGGAGCTAAATGTTTTTCTTACATGATGCTGTACATCATCGGACGGAGCAGAAGCATTCACGGTAGACTAATCACGGGCAAGATATGTGAATGAATGATTGAAAGAATAATCTTATACTCTGTACCTATGTGCAAACAACGAGGGACTAATCAGGAGCCTCTGAACGATACGAAAAGCTAGCAAGTCGAAAGGGTAGGAACGCGATCTATAAGGATTAAGGTGAGGCGAGATGCGGTCCCGAAAGCCGAGAGACATTAGCGCCGCTTTGATATCGAAATATCTCGAGTGTCATTACTCGCAGTGTTATTACTGAGGCGAATAATGGGGACGTGCATTGTTCCGGCATTATGTCATCAGACACAAACAATGATACGATTTTTCAACACACATGTGAGATATATGTGGATACTTTATATGGGAGGGCAATTCATCAGTATTACTGAAATTGTAATAATAAGTTCATCACATACAGATCGGACAACCTGTTGGGTTGCCATCTATAAAGCCAACACAATAACAGAAGTTAGTACACCAGCTCATATAGCTTGTTAAGTACTGATTGTTGTTTTAAAAAAAAGTGATAAGTTTAAGGGGGTTTTC